ACCTCCCACTTTCTCTTTCCTTTATTTCTTTTCATTCAACATCAAGATTAGATTAATTATTTATTACGTAATATTTTTAATTAATTATATTATAAAAAAAATATATATTATGAAGATACTTATTTATTTTTATTTGATAATTAAAATATCAATAGTCACTAGTATTTATTACGATTTTTTAGACACTATTACATAATATTTGAAAACAGTATGTTTGAGAATTCAAATTTATTTGTGCAGATTTATGCCCAAAAATTAGATGTGGGGTGGAGATTGAGTGAGTTTATTGTGACATATATGTATAAAATGAATTTGAATAGTATATTAATATTTTTAATTAATTTTTGAATAATTTTTTTAATTTATAATATTACTGGTTTGAAAATATTTACTAATTTATAAAAAAATTATCGCCTCCTTCCACCGTCAGGACTCACGTCCAACGAAACGTGGTCAACTGCCTCCCTCTTAACCATGATTAAATCTAACCCCACAAAGAACAAAAACCCTACGTCTAACCCCAACCACAAATTAACACCACCCATCTCCATCTAGGCTTCATTTATTCAAAAATCATTCACTTGCATTTAATATCATGATGATAATGAGACACCCACGCGTCTCGAAGCCACACTCTTAAGTCTAATATTCTTCTTTAATTTTTAATAATGGGAGAAATTTATAATTTTTTTTTTTGTTTTAGTCTAAGCTCTCTCATTCATATTCATATATTACATCCTTTCTCTCTTTTTATGTCAAATCTCTTTCTATTCCGTATCTATATTTTCTCTCTCTCTCTATATATATATCAAGTCTTTGCGTTTTCTATTTAAAATTTTAATAAAGAAAAGTCACTGACTATTACAACTATTAGGAGTTATGTGATTTTGATTGATGCATTGTGCCTTTTGTTCATGAGTGACACATAAATTTTAGATTATGATTGGGTTTGGATTTGGGTTTGTGTTTGGGATTGAAATTGGGCAGAGGAAGAGATTGCAGTGGAGATTTTGTGTTGTAAAAATATGTCAAATTGTTTTAGATCTTAAGCTCATACTATTGTAAGAAGGGTTCATTTTGCTCCCCTCATAATGGCCCTGTTTGGTAGAGCTGTGGGAAAGTACTTATAACTTATGCCTCAACAGCTTATAGCTTATAACTTTCAGCTTAAGCTGATTTCCAGCTTATTTTTAAAGCATCTCCTGCCCTACTCAAAGAATAAGCTGATTTCTGACTTCCAAAAAGCTATAAGCTATAAGTTATAAGTTAAACTAAACACATCAAAATAACTTAAATTAAGCTGAAAGCTGAAATAAACTGTAATTAAGCTCTGCCAAACAGGCACAATGTTCTATTTACTTGTAGCAAAACTATATGACATTAGAAGAAAATAGGAAAACAGATTCTTTATAACAATTTTCCCCATTAATCTTTGTCTGCATTCCCTAGTTCTAATGAAATATTCCTTTTTTTTTTTCCTGAAGTTTTAAAAAAAAAAAAAACTTTGTAAGATGAAGTATAATTTTAAAAAATAGTCAAAGAATGAATTTTTTTTGAAGACATGTGATTCTGTCTATAATTTTCTCATACATCTAAATTTTCTCTGATGACATTAGATTCAATTTATTTTATGTGCTTATTTGATTTTGTTGAAGCTAGTAGTTTGGTTGAGATGAAGTTCTCTGCAATTTCTTTGCCATTAGTTTGGTTGAGATGAATTTTCTCTTGCATTTCAACTTATATTGTTTGTTTGATTTCCACTAAATAGTTTTCTCCATGTGATGAATTTTCTGTGGAATTCCAATTTTCTCTGTCTACAATTATAAGCACATTAACTTATGTGCCTTGATTGATTTTCTCTAGCATCTGAATTTTCTCTGACCTATGAATTTATATTGCTTGTTTGATTTTTACTGGTTAGTTGTCTCCTTATGTGTAATTTTTTCCGTTGAAATGAATTTTCTCTAGTATCACAATTGTCTCTAAACACATTAGATTCACTTTATTTACTCTATGTGCCTTTTGAATTTCTATGATTAGTTGTCTCTTTGATTTTCTCTAGCATTTTAATTTTTTCTGACCACATTAAACGCCCACTAATTTGTGTTGTTTGTTTGATTTTTACTGGTTAGTTGTTCTTTGAGATGAATTTTCTCTAGCATTTGAATTTTTTCTGAAAACACTAAGCCCTCACTAATTTTGGTTACTTGTTTGATTTTCACTGATTAATTGTCTCCTTGTGTAAATTTTTCTTTTGAGATGAATTTTCTCTGACACTAAGATATCTCTTTTAGATTAATTTTCTCTGATTACATTGGACTCTCTTTCTCTTTGTGCTTTACTTGATTTTCTTTGGCTAATTGTCTCTTTGATTTTCTTTCGAATTTTTTTTGGTATTTGAATTTTTCTTGTCTATATTAAACTCTCACTAATTTATGTTGCTTATTTGATTTTCACTGAATTTCTAATTTTGAATTTTATTTTTGATCTTTTGGGATGTGTAGTGTTTGCTATTTTTAAAACTATAATTAGATTTCGTATTTTAAGTTTTTTGAACTTAGTATGATATTTTTTTTATAAAAATTATAGAAAAATTAGTTTGTGAGTAGCTCAAATTTTATGTAATTTACTCTAATTTGTTTAAAATATAGAACAAATTGTAAGCAAATCAAACAAAATTGTCAAAATACAGAGAAATTTGTGAGCAAACCAAAGAAATTTCAGACAAATTTCTCTATGTTTCGAAATTTCTTTGAATTGAAATTTCTTTGCTTCGTAATTTTTCTATAAAGATTTGAGAGACCTCAACCACTATGAAAATATTTTATATACTCCATGCTATAAAATCTTAATATGAAAGACCTTAAAAAAATTTCCCATTTTTCTAACCATATGTTATTTTTTTTAAAAAAATAATATACAAATACACTTTTTATATCTATTTTTTAGTTTCAATAATGTGTAAATAATATGATTGATTGATAATTAGAGAAAATATGAGAAATGAAATATTCTTTTAATATTGTAATTGATTGTAATATCACAAGACTTAAAAATTAAATCTATTTTTTAGTCTTTAATAATAATACTCTATTTTTTATAGAAGCTTTTTGATTTTATTTTTTATTTTAATGAAATCAACTAAAGCGGCAAAACCACCGCCGTTGTAATTTTACCATTTCAAAACTTAGAAACAAAACATATAAATTTGATTAAAAAAGCTAGCAAGGTTTACAAAAATTACAAAGACATGAAAATTTTATTTTAAAGGACAAAAATACCCTTATCTAACTCAGTTTTCTCTGCAAATCTGGAAAATTACCCTCCCCAATCGCCTTGATATTTCTCCCCACTCATCCCGCCATTTGGCTTCCCTTGCTCACCTTTGACCCGACCCAACAATCTTATTGATCCAAACCCTAGATACCACAACCACACTCTTTAATCAGATTCACCAAAGTATTTACCTATTTACACCATTTCCCACTATAGTGTTTTTTTTTTGGTAATCGAAACATGTACAATATGTGCAAAATTCAAGTGATAAATATGCACAGCCTTACAAATTGTACTTGCATAGGCCAAAATAACATTTGCACGGGGCATTGGCAACATTTGCACCATGAATAGGATTGACCGATTCATTGTTCACAGCCAAACTCTTTAGAATTAAGAGCCGACTCCTAAAGCTTTGAGGGCCGACTTTGTGATCTCTGGCTAATTTTTTGCAATTAAGGATCGATCTAAATTAATTTAGAAAATATAAAAATTCACATAATTCATATTTATATATACCCGATATGGTTAAAATTAAATTATGCACATGTTACACTTTCACGCGCTTTGAAAATACGTTTATCGATCCTCTAATCTTTTCATCTCATAAATAAATTAATAAATATTTAAAAAAATATAGAATTTTTTATTCTTATATTTAAACATGTAGGGTGAGAGAAATGACTGTATTTTAAGTCTCTCTTGTCTCTCCCCCAATCCTCCTCCTTCTCCTTTTTCCCCTTCCCTTTCTCTCCACTGAAATCCTCAAACCCACTCGAGTTTTCTAATCCAATCTCTATTCAAAAACTAGTGTTCAACTTCCATAGCTCTCTCTCTCTCTTTTTTTTCTTTCTATTTTTAACATTTTTTATTTTATTTTATTTTATTATATATATATCTTACTCGATAAAATAATCAAAGCAAAAACAGCTTTAAATCTCTCTCTTTTTTTTTCTTTCTATTTTTAACATTTTTTATTTTATTTTATTATATATATATCTTACTCGATAAAATAATCAAAGCAAAAACAGCTTTAAATCTTTCTCACACTATTTTTTTATTACTTTTTCTTTCTTGTTTTCCGTTTCTTTTTATGTTGTTGTAGTAACCATGTCTAGTTTAGATTTAGCAAATGCTTCTCATTATACCCATCACCAATTCCACCCCTTCGAAACAAATCCTGAAAACGAAGAACACAACGATGACAACGGCGGCAGCCACCACTCCGATGATATGGTCACTCGTCGGCCAAGAGGCCGACCACCCGGATCCAAGAACAAGCCCAAACCACCGGTAATTATAACCCGAGAGAGCGCGAACACACTCCGAGCTCATATTCTTGAGGTCAGCAATGGCTGCGACGTGTTTGACTCCGTAGCCATCTATGCCCGCCGCCGGCACCTTGGGATCTGTGTTTTGGGCGGGAGTGGGACCGTCACGAACGTGAGTCTCCGGCAGCCGGCCATGGCGGAGGGTGGTGGTGCGGTGGTAAGGTTACATGGGAGGTTTGAGATTCTGTCGTTGACCGGGTCGTTCTTGCCACCGCCAGCGCCGCCGGGAGCGACGAGCTTGACGGTGTTTTTGGGGGGAGGGCAGGGACAGGTGGTGGGAGGGAGCGTGGTGGGAGAGCTCGTGGCGGCGGGGCCGGTGGTTGTGATTGCCGCGTCGTTTAGTAATGTTGCCTATGAGAGATTGCCGTTGGATGAGGAGGACGAGGAGGAGGCGGCGGTTCGGATTCAGCCACCGGTGTCAGAGGTTTCCAGCGGCGGCGGCGGCGGTGGATTTCTTGACCCATCTTGTGGTCTTCCTTTCTTGAATTTGCCTATGGCTAATAATTGTCAGTTACCAGTTGATAATTGGGTCGGAAACTCAGCTCACTTGATGAATCCATAATGTTATGATGTTCACATTTGCTTATAATTCGATCTTCGCAACATCTCTGACTTGGGTGAAATACGCTTTTTTCTTTGAATCATAAAAAGGTCAGCAAGTTAATGTTATTACTGCTCATGATCATGATCATGGTTCTTCTCTTATCTTGAGTTGTTTTGTTTTTCTTCTTTTTAGACTTCTTGGGTTTTTTGTTGTATCTTTAATTTTCTTGAAATAGTCTTCCTTCTGTTCTTCATGGAAACTCTATTCTTGTTAAGGACATGGTTTCAGACACACTTGTGTTTAGCAACTGGCATACTCAAAACATGGTGGTAGTACTAACAGATCAATTAGCTCTTTGTGATACATGTTTTATCTTCTATTTTATTGTGTTGCTTTGCTTCGGTACATCATTCGTTCATTTTTTTTTTTTCTAAGTTATGTTTGAATCATGAAAATCAGGAGCTTTGTGATTTTTTGTATTGTTGTAAGGATGTGATAACTTGACATATTTAAAAAAAGTCAAAAAGTTACTATCCTATTTAAATCATATCAGTTTATTTAAGTCGTATCATCTCTTTAACACATTATTTCAAACTCAATCTAAATTCAATTCATATTTCATAAAAAATCAAAAAATACACTTATTTAGATCATGTCAAACAAAAAAATTTCCAAACATGAGGATTCTATTTCTTGAAATGGAGATGTTGGTTGGTGTTTGTGTTTGAGCTAACCTTGATCTAGTCTGGTTGGAAGATACCCCTGTAACTTGTAAGTTTCCTCTCTCTCTCTCTCTCTCTCTCTCTCTCAACCTAGTCATTTACATATATGGCAAGTTTTGCTGAAAGCCAAGCAAACAGTTTATTTATTTATTTCTTTCTTTTTCTAATTCTTAGACACGAATGAAAATCGATCTCTCCCTCAAGTGTTCATTTGAACCAATTTAACGTGAAAAAATAATATACAATTTTTTTTTTTTAAAAATTTAGTGATGAATTAAAAAGATAATTTACTCATTTAATGTGTCGTCCTGAAAAAATCAAATCAATAGGCAAGTGTATCAAATTAGGCAATATATCATATTAGGCCAGTCCTTATCAATGATACATATAAGGCAAGTGTGGGCTGTTGAATCAATAAACCCAACATACATCACCCCCTCATGTAACGTCTGGTACTCCGCATATGACTTTAATGTTTCTTTTTTTAATATTATTATTTTATTTATATACGTAGTCACTAGTCAGCTTGGGCTAAAAGATTATGTGAAACACAGAATTTTTATCCTTTCATATAATATTTGGATAAATTATAAATGCATCATTTGAAATTTGATTAAAATACGAATCGCTTTTTGTGATTTTGGAAATTACATTTCACCAACGAAGTTTTTAATTTTATAACAAATCGTTTATTTTATTAATAAAGCATGAAGTAATTTTAATAATGTTAGAAATATGTTTCATTTAATAATTCAGGTAATTTTATTATTATATAGGAAAACAATTATGAATTTCGTTTTTTAATTAATTCTGTTAAATAAAAAATTCTGACATTGTGGTATTTGTAATTTTTCAAATTACAAGGGGTAATTTGTACTTTAAGCAAATCGTACGGGATGCATTTGTAATTTACCCTATATATTTTGTGTATTATTCTGTAATCAGATTTTTTTGTTTTTTTAACTCTTTTTTTTTTATACTATTGGATCTTGAGGGGTGTAAAAATGGTCCGAGTCCAACTCGAGATCCTGGGTCTGGGTGTGGGCTGTCATTTTGAATTTTGACCCGGCCTGTGGGTCCAATCCATCGGCCCGCTCAAGGTCCACTCAAAGTCCAGCCCGAGACCCAATTTCACTTTTAGTGAAAAACAATAAAATTTTGGTAAAAAAAAAAAAAAATGTTTTGGCCTAGGTTTGAGCCCGAGCCTGAGCCTAGGCCCAGGCCCCACCCAAGACTGAGGCCTAGCCTGACAGCCCACCGAAGACCTGAATACCCCCTGAATCTATGTCTAATTCTTTGGCCCGTGGGCTCGACAAGGTCAAATTTACACCCTTAGATCTCGGATATAGATATAAGAACGGATTTTCATGTCATTTTCCTATTAACATTGATGGCTTAATGGATATGTTTGGTTTAATCGCTATGTTTGACCATGTTTGATTGTGAAAAATAGCAATCTCACAGTATGAATTTCTTAAAAGGGTGGTTAACATGCCTACAGTGTGATATTGCTAATCATATCCGCATTTTATATAATGAGGATTTGTACCAATTTAATCTCAATCGACTAGAACAAAATCTCATCACTTAATTTCACTGTACTCAGTAATCTCAACTAACTTTATTCCAATTATCAAATCTGACCAATATGTTGACCAGCATAATATTAAGCCATAAATGATAATCAGTATTAGGTGTGTTAGATTAAAAGATAAGAGAGAAAAAACAAGCAGCCTCAACAATTATTAGAAAGGGCAGGGCTTCTGTCCAGTCCTTAATCGGACTGGACCGTGTTGTTGGGCCTGTGGGGTTCATTATGGGTCCCGTTTTGATAATCTGAACCGTTTAATGTGTAGAACTCGTCGAGTACTATATGTCTATAAAAAATCATGTTAATCGGATATCGATAGCTATGTGATCAAATCAGTTTTGTATAAAAAAAAATAGATGATGAATAAATTAACGGTTGACAAAAATCTATTTTGATCACTTAGCTATGATATCTGATCAACGTGATTTTCTATAGGCATATAGTACTCGACGAGTTTTACACATTGACGGTTCAAATTATCAAAACGGGACCCGTGGTGGGTCTCCACGAGCCCAACAGCACGGTCCAGTCCACAGAAGCCATTCCCTATTAGAAAATAAAGTACTTAGTGTGCATTCAAATTTAATGCGATGTAAATGATACCCAAAATAAAAATTCACATATTTCATTTTGTAGCAAATTTCTCCAATAAATTTATTGAATCCTTATATAGATGTGTAATACCTTCAGATTCCAACACTGATATATCAATAATATCACACAACTACATGAGGAGATTTTGCAATTGGAGGACTGGAAGTACAGGTATATAAATTGTTTCAGAAAACAAAAAACCATGCAAAATGTCTTCATTTCAAAGTGTTTTTGTGCAATACATTGACAGATGGATATAAACCAGATATGGCTTAATGGGATTGTGTTTTATTTAACAATGTATTCATATATATTCGAGGTAAGTTGGTTAGAAAAGAAAAGCAAACCTAGTGCAGATTGATGATCAAGAATCTACCAATGCTTCCTTAACCACTGTGATAGTCAAATTAACCTTTTGTTGATTTTACGGTTTATGTTTGCCAAAACAGCTTGTTTCTCTATCTTTTCACCAACTAACAAGGTAGAGTGATCATCAAAACTTCCCTGATCAAGAAGGGTTCTAATTATGATCAACACTGGATTTTAATTAGTATTATAATTAATGAATATAATCTCTCAATTAATTTTATTCTCCACTTGAAATTTTTCGAGTTGAGGTGCCCGGAAAAGTATTAACAAAATAGAAGGTCATTTGCATCCAATCAAATCCTTAATTACTGCAATTTGATCATCACTACAACATATAAGGATTTCAGAGACTAAATGTTTTGATTTCTAAAAGTGAAAATTTTGTTGCAAAAGACATTTAGGGATCAATTTCCATCGTCACGAGTATAGTAGTTAAAAGGTCGTCCTGCAAAGTCAAAAACAAGGCTTTTAGCGACAAAATTTTAAAAATGTCACCAATAAATAGATTTTGGAGACAAAATAATTTGGTTTGAAAATGATTTATTTTTTGAGACAAAAAATTTGGTCCTAAAAGAATAATAATTTATCACTAATGTCTAATTTTCGTTACTAAAAGTATAATAACGACACTTTTCATAACAAATATATTTGGTACAAAAAAAAATAATTTTATCCTTAAAACCTTAATTTTTTATAGTGCATAAAACAAAATTCTCATGACTCCCATGAGTTTTTGCACACAGTTGCATCGGATTCCACTTAATTAAAGCATATGATTAATTAAGAAATATGCTTTATGCTAACTCTAAGCTAATTCTCCGTTCCTTAGGATTTTAAGAGGCGATGCTTAGGTTTAGGTTTAGGTTTAGATTTATATGGTAGGGTATATTGCCAAAGTGAATCTAAAAGTTGCCTGTTGATTGTGATTGTTTGGAATTGTGCAAACGCAAGCACTAAGTTTTACAAAGAATGGTCCATCGCGGGATTGCGAATAGATCATCAATTGTTTGTTACTCGCTTAAAAGTTTAGGCTTCTTTTCATTTTAATTTTGGCATAGTTAACCAATACATGCTTTATAACTTTGTGAACTATATATGATAGTGCAACATTATTTGCAAAATACTTGGTTTGCTACCACTTTGATTCTGTGAAATATGAAGGTTTTGTCAAATTTAGTATAAGGACCTTAGTTTACCAACTGAAAATATGAAAATATAATCATTTTGACATTATTAAAAATAACACCACAAGAAATCAGTTTTTTAGGGACAAATTTATTCCGTCCCTAAAAATGTAATATTTGTTAGGAAAACCTTTAGTCAATTAATTTTCTCCGTTGCGAAGTTTGTCCCAAATGGCCTGTCTGGAAAAGTCAAAAAATGTCTTTTAGAGACAAAATGTTGCATTTGTCACCATAAATAGGCTTTTAAAGACAAAAATATGTGGTTGCAAAAAAATTTGATTTTGAGACAACCAAAATTTGTCTCTAAAAGTCTAATTACAATCCAGGGCAAAAGAAGCAGTTATGGAGACAGAAAATTAATTTTTGAGACAACACAAATTGGTCTCTAAAAGTCTTAGGCCGTGTTTGGGACGATTTCCAAATTATAATTCTACCCACACCTTCTAATATGATATTTGGATAGGATGTTCAAACTAAATTTTCACAACGTTTAGAAAACTCTGCAGAAAATTCTGCGTGAGGCACGATTTTCAAATTATTTTTTTTTTGAAATTTGGCCTAACTGGTCGTCCCACTGGACGTCCTATCGGTTGACCAGAACAGTAGAATTTTTTATTTTTTTTATTTTTTGCAATTGACACATGTTAATTTTTATATATTCAAAAAAAATATTTTCCAAATTTTTAAAAAATGTTTGTGAGCTTTAATAGAATTTTGAGTTGTGTATTTGGTTATAAGTTGTAAGTTTTTGTATCAAACATCACATGTCACATAAAAAATTCCCCACTCAATTCAAAACTCTTTTCAAAACTCATTCACAAAACAAATTT